AGAAGAAATAAGAAGAAAAAAAGGAGAAGAAAAAAAAAGGAGAAAATAAGATGAGGAAAAAGGAGAAGAGGAGAAAGGAGAAGAAAAGAAGAAGAAAAAGAAGGATAGGAAGAAGGAAAAAAGGAGAAGAATAAGAAGAGAAAGAAGCCGGATATAACAACATTTAGAAGAAATGCATGTTTAGAAGTATTAAGAGTACGAATATCAGGAATTATATAGAAGAAAAAAATCGTCAGAAGAAAAGAAAAGGAAAATGAATTAACACAAGAGGCGAATCCAAAAAAATGAAGATTACTTCAAGTAAGGAAGAAAGAAAGACTACATTATAAAAAGAGAGAAGAGAGATAGCTCTCACATAGATGAAAAAGTGATTTAGATATCGGATATCATCCCATCCCATATAACCCTTTAATACCCGGACATCACCATGTTAATAAACGCAAAGTCAACCCCTCAATCTTGTCTATCCCATCCCAAACTTGCTTTTATTAGGATTCTTAGTTAGAATCCTTAGCAAAACACGTTTGGGATGAGATGGACGTAATGCGGGGGGGGGGGGGGGTGGAGGTGGGCGTGGAATTTGATTTAATAAAATGACGATGTTGGGATGGGTTAATATTTTGTATGGCTGGGGTATACTGTAGTCCTTTATCGGATGAAATCTCTTCATCAAGGTCAAGAGATACAGCGCACCTTAAGACGCACTGTATCTCTTGACCTGGTTGAAAATATTGAAGCCGAGAAAAGACTACAGTACCACCCCCTTCAATCAAATCTAATCCACCCCAACATCATCATGTTGATAAAGCGAAATCCATCCCATTAATCTTGTCCATCCAAAATTGCTTTTATTATTAGGATTCTTTACAATTACGAAGGGCGCACTGTAAATATTTCATGAGTGTCCTGGTTGAATATGAAACAGCCAAGAACCCCCTCTAAAAAAAAGGGGGGGGGGGAAAATTGAGTTTAAAAGGCTCCATACCGCCCCCGCCCGTTGAGGCCGAAACAAATTAGTGCTCATCCCCCTACCTACCCCCCCCCCCACCCCCCACCCGCTTATTCGGCCGATCGCCCTCCCTCGCCGCTGGTTGGATCCGTCCCTGGTATACCTTGTGTGGGTAATTCTTACTAATGCCCTCACTGCTGTGTATTATTTGTATGCTATAGGCTGATGCCCAGGGGCGTAAATCCGTACCGAGGAGTAGGGGGGGGGGGGATGATCGGAGATAGCCATCACATACTAGCACGAGCACACGCCCACACTAATTTACGCAAGCGCGCGCGATCGCGCACGCACAAACACACAACACACACGCACACACGCACACACACACACACACACACACACACACACACACACACACACCACACCACGCAAACGCACACACGCACACACACAAACGAACAAACAACAAACAATATTAGAGAAAGAAGACGATTCGTTGTACCGTTCTCGAAAATAATCCTTGTCTGAATTCAGTTCCCCCTTCCCTCCCGCGCGAAGCGCGGAAGCTTGTACGTTTCATTAAATCATTAGGGAAAGAAGACGATTCGTTGTACCGTTCTCGACTTTTAATCCTCATCTGAATTCAGTTTTTTCCCTTCCCCCCTCCTGCGCGAAGCGCGGAAGCTTTTACGTTTCATAAAATAATTGGAGAAAGAAGACGATTCGTTGTACCGTTCTCGACTTTTAATCCTCGTCTGAATTCAGTCCCCCCCCCCCCTCCCGCGCGAAGCGCGGAAGCTTTTACGTTTTATTAAATCATTAGGGAAAGAAGACGATTCGTTGACCCGTTCTCGACTTTTAATCCTCATCTGAATTCAGTTTTTCCCTTTCCCCCCTCCTGCGCGAAGCGCGGAAGCTTTTACGTTTCATAAAATCATTGGAGAAAGAAAACGATTCCTTGTACCGTTCTCGACTTTTAATCCTCATCTGAATTCAGTTTTTCCCTTCCCCCCCCCCCTCCTGCGCGAAGCGCGGAAGCTTTTACGTTTCATAAAATCATTGGAGAAAGAAGACGATTCGTTGTACCGTTCTCGACTCTTAATCCTCGTCCGAATTCAGTCCCCCCCCCCTTCCCTCCCGCGCAAAGCGCGGAAGCTTTTACGTTTTATTAAATCATTAGGAAAAGAAGACGATTCGTTGACCCGTTCTCGACTTTTAATCCTCATCTGAATTCAGTTTTTCCCTTTTCCCCCTCCTGCGCGAAGCGCGGAAGCTTTTACGTTTCATAAAATCATTGGAGAAAGAAGACGATTCGTTGTACCGTTCTCGACTTTTAATCCTCATCTGAATTCAGATTTCCCCTCCCCCTCCCGCGTGAAGCGCGAAAGATTTTACGTTTCATTAAATCATTAGAGAAAGAAGATGATTCGTTGTACCGTTCTCGACTTTTAATACTCATCTGAATTCAGTTTTCCCCCCCCCCTCCCGCGCGAAGCGCGGAAGCTTATACGGTTCATTAAATCATTAGAGAAAGAAGATGATTCGTTGTACCGTTCTCGACTTTTAATACTCATCTGAATTCAGTTTTTCCCTCCCCCCCCCCCTCCCGCGCGAAGCGCGGAAGCTTTTACGTTTCATTAAATCATTAGAGAAAGAAGACGATTCGTTGTACCATTCTCGACTCTTAATTTCTTTAAAAAGGGGGTGGGTTTTTTTTCTCTCTCTCTTTGGACTCCTGAGAAATGTAAAAAGGAGGTTATAAAATATCTTGAATATCATAGAAAAATTGATTAAATCCCGGGATCGAATTCCTGAAATTCCTGCTAACTTTGAAAGCTCATTCAGGATTATTTCATTTTGAAAAGTAAAAGCATTGGCCCCCAGTCCCCCTCGATCGACTAGAGCTCACCTGAAATGGGGGGGGGGGGGGGGGTTGTACATTTAGCAGTGTTCCGGATTTTTTTTTTTTTTTTTTTTTTTTGGGGGGGGGGGGGGGGGTCTCCAAGGTAGGAAAAGCCAGCGAAAAGCCGGCGAAAGGGGGGTTCAGAAATGTTGGCAGTCCTGAGATAGGGGGGGGGGGGGGGGTGCTTTTAAAGGGCGGGAACGAGCGTACGCGTAACCTAAATAATACTAAGTGGGGGGAGCCGGGCATCTACTGTACATGATTGCACCTTTTAAGCGCTCGCGCGCTGGCGCACTTTACGTCTGGGCTATAATAATACCTTGCAAAATAACGAAAAATTATTCTAAAGTTTGATGAAGTGCGTGTTCGCGCACGTCGCGCAACTACTCTTAATGATCGTGACATACTATATCCGTGTAGGCCATACATTTATACTTACATTAAAAAAAAAACTCATTTCTAATGTTTTATGCTAAAATTGAAACAATCACATTTTTTTTCTTCTTCTTCTTCTTCTTCTTCTTCTTCTTCTTCTTTTTTTTTTCTCTCTCTTTTTTTTGCAATATCAGGGGGGGGGGATGATTGTACAGGCCACCCCCCCTACTTCAAGCCAGGGGGGATGCAGCCCCCCCCCCCCCATCCCCCGGGGATTTACGCCCCTGATACAGCCCTCCAATGACTGAGCCAACGCTACGCCAGTGGTCATGAACATTTTCTATGGACAATATTATTATTGACCAAGTCACGGAAACTCTTCACTTTAAGTGACGGTCCTATTCATTTTCTATATGGGTCTTATTCTTCCCTAAGATACGGTTACTCTTCACCAAGTCGCTGTCATCTCCATTTGCTCTTGTAAAAGTGGTGTATTTATCATTCACCAAGTCACCCTTTAAAAACGATATGAAAACTGTAATATTATTATTGTTCAGCATGCATGCCACATGAACTCTTCACCAAGTCAGCGTACATTATCTATGAAGAAACTGGAATATTAATTCTTCATCAACACTAGTCACTGTTATGTAATGTTTTTAATATACCGATGCTTTTCTACTGCGTCACTGGTATCTCTATGAATTAAGATGGCTCTAGATTTGCACAAGGTTGGAGGGGTTCTACCACTCACTCAAGGTGGATGCATAAAGGCGTATTGATAAGTTAAATGGCTCTCGGGTCAAGCACCCAATTTGCGCTCAATTATTGAGCAGAGCCATTAAACCAATGGCTCCGAATAGACTTATTTTAAGTAACTATCACTATTTGTTATTTGTTCTTACAAATTATGTATAATATATGTTTTTTGACGGAAAATAAAACCAAACCAAACCAAAGGCTCCAATCTTAAATTCGGCTTTGAAAACTTACGGTAGGCCCTAATAATTACGCTCCGGAAACGTGAGGACAGAGGGCAGATGCCTCCTCCAATGTTTTTAGTTAGCAAAATCGACCCCAAAAGACTCCCTCGCTAGAAGAAAAAAAAAATCGATGTAAGCTTTCTGGTGCTCATGCAAACTTTGCATATACCTTAATTCAAAGTCAAAGTTTCATGCTCGTTCGCTACGCTCTCTTGGATACAAATAGACACAATAGTCTTTAAGGCTTTAAAAAACCAGGAGGAACCGAGAGCATTGAAATGATTGAATTATGACGAAAGTTGGAACGTTTTTTTACCGTACCACTTTTTATGAAAATATTTATTAATTACAGACTGCCAAACTACACCGTTGCCCATACAGTAAGAATTAGGCCTTTCTTTCTTACCACTTTTCATGAAAATAATTATGTTCATATCTTATTATAACTTTACTGATCATTCTGTATTCGTCAAAAAAGTTATAAGAAGATAAAAACTTTATCTATCAAGAATTTACCACATCATCAGCAGAAGAGGTAAGAAAATTATATTACAAATTTATGGGCAACAGAGGTCAGTGCTGAAAACCGAAAAAGAATGACTGAGTGACGTCATTTCTCTGCCCACAATGCATTGTTCATGAGGGCGTTCGCCATTCTTCTAAACGTACGGACGCATACCTTTACACTAAAAATGTATATCACTTTCACAACTATGTCAATCTGCGCTATGGTTATCACACATACAACTTCTGCCTTCCGTATACGCACGCAAATTTAGTAGCGCATCCACGATCTTAAAAACAAAAGGTAGTAGCACGTACGTACGTGACCTAAAATAAAACTCGTTGGAAAAGCTATACCATATACCGACCGCGATCGCTCAGCTGTTTGTTTACTATGACGATTGGCGACAAAAATATATCAATACATTTGACATTACCAATGTTTATTTCAGTTAGATCGTCATTAGTCATTAACTGGAATACTGGAAGAACTCTTTATGTTCGGATGGAGTTGTAGTTACGAAAGTAGGAGCGGTTATTTTGGTGTCTTCTTCGACTTCGTTTACTTGCACAGTGACAGTGCAGAGACAGTTGAATGTTGGTTGACTTGACGTTGTTCGAGCTGAGATTTGAGTGTGATTAATCACCAACTTGATCAAGAAAATATTAATAAAACTATACGTGCAACAGTTCAAAACCCCAAAATGGAATGATCGTTGGACGGGAATTTTCGGGCAGTTGTCCTGTTGAAAGCTAGACTACTGACTAGAGTCTAGGTCTCTCTTCTTCTTCTTTTTTTAGACACAAGTGGCTAAAAATCAGTTGCACAAGAAGAAGTGACTCTCACTTTGAAGACAAAACTTACTTCAAAAGTCAAGATGGGGAGCATGAATAAGAGTGACAGGGTAAGTTGCGACACCTACAGTGACTGACATACCAGTTGTTGTTGTTGTTGTTTGGTATTAGACCTAGATATCTAGACTATCAGCGTTTCTTCTATTTTAGAATATTTACGCCAGTGCAGACGGTCTATCTAATTAAAGGGGAAATCCCCCTGTTTAGTTTCTTGGTTTTGATAAAAACAAAAAAAGCAGAAAATTGAGAGAAACAATAATCTATCTAGTGACTAGACTCTAAGCAAGATCTGAGTGAAAATACAAAAAGTTGTACATTTTTTAAAGTTGTCATCAGTGAACAGGTGGTGCGGATAGGGTGGATTAATTTGTAAATTGGGGGGGGGGGGGGCCATTTTGAATTTGACAGTGTTCGAATGTGAGCGATAGTCTCGGATTTAAGATGATTCCAATCACGCACTGTTCCCATGAAGTAGGAGTTTGTGAATGTGTCTGTTCGTGAGTGGGTTAGTTGAAATTGCCTATTATGCCCTCTTCTACATTGTATCTCTGGTCGTTTTAGGTTGGGTGAAGTCTTGATAGTCTACGTCCAGCTGCAGCTGCCTGTACATCATTTTGTAAGGACAGGAGAGACGGGGTTGTTTGCACCTTTCTTGCAAAGATGGCCAGTCTAGCGAGGAGAGGATGTTAGTGATGCTAGTGTCTCTACCGTAGTTGTTTGTCATGAATCTTGCAGCTTGTTTCTGTACTCTTTCAATGGACTTTATGTTCTTACTTGTGGGGGATCCCAGGCTGCCGGGGCGTAGTCTAGGTGGGGTCTGACTAACATTTTATATAATTTCTCTTTCACATCTGGCTTATTGTGATAGAAATTCCTCCGTTTAAAGGTCAGCTTGAGTACTCTAGAAGCTTTACCAGTTGCAAACTCTGTTTGTTCCAGCGCACAAGAAACAACTTAAGACCTAACACTATTGCCATTAGGGGCACCGTTGAGCTGAGAACAGGCTACCAATCCGATGTCTTGCCATTCACTACCACCCTCTGGAATTGATTTGTCAGGAATGAACGAATCCATCTTTTAGTTTTGTTTCTGACGCCATACAGTAGTTTTCCAACTTGAGGAGTAGACTGGTGAGGCATAACAAGTACTGCCATATCTGTGTTAAGTTAGTTGTATAAGTTCTTGGTGAGACTCATGAGCAGTCAGTATAAGCTGTGTCTTGCATGATCTAGCTTTTCAGAATGCATGCTGGTTTTCAGCGATGATCCTATTTTAGTGAAGTGACGCATTATCTGGCTGTCAATAATATGCTCAAGTAGCTTGCAACAAGTCCCAGTTTCTGAGTGGTGAGTTTGACAGTGCTTGAGTTGGGAAACTTTTTTTTTTTTTTTTTTTTTTTTTGCGGCCGAATATTCAGGTACGAGAAATCGTACCCGAGTAGCTGTCAACCGTGCGGGTACTCGAGCATTCGACTACCCTTCACAGCCTTAATACAGGTCTATAATTTGCTGGGTGTGTGGTGCTACCCTTCTTGTAGATGGGGGTGATGCTCTCCTCCAATCCAATGGGAGGTCACCAGTGTCATGAGACTGTTGGAAGATAAATTGGAGGACAGGAGCAATTTCAATATTTCATTGGCGGCTATCTTTAAAATCTGGTTTGGTATCCGGTCCGTACCGATTGCTTTGGATGTGTTGATTTTTAACAGAAGCTTCTCGATACCTTCAGTGGTGATGTTAAAGTCAGGCATGCTTGGAACTTCACTTGGTGGCAAAGTTGGCATTGTCATACAGTGTAGCCATTTTGTTCACTGATGACAACTTCAAAAATGTATAACTTTTTGGTAAAATATCTTGCAAGCTTCTCTCCAATTTGTTCTGAAACTTCTGATTTTCTTATTTATTGATGATGGAATAGACTTGTTTCATACAATTATAAATTTATATTAGGCCTAAGCTAAGTAAATGTACATAAATCTAGGCCTAGACTTACATGTAGGTCAGTAAAGTACTACAGGTATGAACTACAGCTGTACATGTATGATCGAAAAATTCTTATGGGAAAATTTAAATTTTTGACGATTTTTTTTTGTACAGGGCAAATCAATGCAAATGGGAGGAGACCTTGCAAGATACATATACCATACTTCAAATCGACAGAGTTGCCAATTTGTGTTTAATAGATCCCACCTTCTAAAATTAATAACTTTCTTATCTTTAATCGGTTTTCACTTTTTGCTCAAACCTTCACTGACATGTTTCTCACATTTTTAAGCAACTTGAAGTTGGTCAAGAATTTAAATTTTGAAATATGAGATTTTGATACTGAGCGATAGCAATTTGCATAACAAAATTTTGTTGTTGTTTAGTTTCGATTTTTGGCACTATGCCTGGCAATGTCTCCCAGCTCAGTAATCGGTGTGTTGACTCACCACTCGGAAACTAGCACAACACTCAAATTTGTCTGTCATCTTGGTTTGAAAGTATTTTTCTAATAGATCTCAATATGTAGTTTAAACCAATAATTCCTCCAACTTTGCTTCGGCGTACCACAAGGTTTTATCTTAGGTACTCTACTGTTTTTAATTTACATCAATTACACATTCTTCTAAAAACGACATTGTTACTTTTGTGACAAGTTCACGAGCACAAATCGGCGCCTTCAACTGCACCTCGATGTTAAATGAAAGTCCTTCCCCGCGTGTGTTTTCGTTTCGGCAACAACAACAACAACAATTTTTTTGTTTGTTAGTGTCTTCAAAATAGGGGTGCGCCTTATACATAGGTGCGCCTTATACACAGAGATTTACGGTACACATGTAATGTACGTGCTGATGATATTGATAATGAGCTTCACACTGTAACATGCGATTAACATTACAGAAACGCTGAACTCTTACGAAAGTTCATGATGTTGGTTCTAAAATGCAAATGCATGCAGTGTACACAAAAAACTATTTTCAAGACTTTTTGGTACGCTTGGAATTTAGCAAACTACCTGTGCATGCGCTTTTTTACACAAATCATTGTTGATATAACTTTCTTATTTTTAATTGTTTTTTGCTCAAATTTTTGCTGACATGTTTCTTTTATTTTTCTGCTTCTATTACAACCAATATTATGTCAGGGTGGACTTGCCCTTTAAGATTACCTGTAGACCACCTGTCTATAAAGACTCCCTTCCCTTGAGTGGTCTTTATCATACAGGCTTGTATCATTTATAAGCCATCCGTTTTTACCATTTTACAGTTTGACATTTTAGTTTGTCGGGTGTTGTACAAATTTGTAGAGTTAATAACAAAACTCTTCCTCCCAGCTCAGAGTGCCAATTTAATGGGATTTTTTAAACGTGGAAGACGGCCTGTAAATCAAAATTATGTTGTGTATAGTGTACACAAGATACATTAAATACATGTACAGTAAGATCCCCTACCCCTGGTGATACATGTAGGACATTGTGCCACTGATCTTACATGTACATTTTGTAACTAACGACTCTATTTGGTAAAATTTACAAGTTTGATACACCAGATTTCTTTGATTTTGTTCAATGATAATATGATATGATCAGGTATGGGAACAATTCTACGCTGCCATAAGTTTTTTTAGTCCTTGTGTACAAAATACAGGCTCATGAATTTCCTCATGAACTGTACACAGTACATGTGTACACACGTACGTGTAACTGTAGGCACGAATACTTGTTTACACTAATTTAGGTGGGGATTACATTCATAGTTGTCATTGGGAGTCTGGGACTGTGAGATTTCCTAATAACTTCTTAAATGAGAAATTTTTATTTTGATGAAGGCTTACTGTAAAACTGCAAACTGTCACATGCATTTTAATAATTGTGATGATTTCAAGAGTGGTCCGGCCAGGCTAGAGTGACACTTTCATGCTGTGAAATATTTGAATCACATCTGACTTAGCAGTCAGCACTTAATTTTTACTTTTGCAAATTGCAAATTTGTCTTGCTGTGAAACTGAAAACAGCTTTTAACAACTGATGAAAGTTTTGTGTTGTGAAATTTTGTGGTTTTACAGTATTAGAAAAAAACCTGCACAAAATGGTCAACCTTAACTCTTGATACATGTACATGTACATGTACAATATGAACATTTTCCAATAAATTTAAATGTACAATTACACTGTAGGAACAACAATTTCGAACTATTCTCTACTGCTTCCTGAGTATACAATGTACACTGTAGCTTACTTCTTGAACAATTTTTGTGCGTAATACCGTTATGATCGGTATCTGTGTTTATGCCAGTGAGGATAGCATGACTCATTGATGTTTTTGAAAATTATGAATAGGCCTACTTGTACAAGCCCAAGCCAAAATAGCCATCTTGTCCCGTGTGTTTCAGAAGTGGGTTGTAAAAGTAGCATGTCCTTGAGCTATTCTCAAATCTGATTGTTTCATTTGTTTGCTTTCTTTGGAGCGATACTGTCTCACAAGAGTGAGGATGTGTCTGCAAAATTGTGCGTTCAGATACAATGTACATGTAGATCTATTTGTACACAGAAGTGAAGGCCTTGTAAACCTCCCAATACAACACACATAAGGTACATAACATGTACAATGTAAATGTACAATTGTACATAGCATTTACATCTACTGTACATGTAATGATATCCACTTGCTGGAGTAATTTTGTGAAACTTTTTTTCTCAAATTTCTTTTGATTATACAGTGTAGACGCTCAATAGTTAATACAGTATACACAATCACATGTACGTGTACACTGTGTAAAGCTAACATGTACATGTACATTGTATGTGTTTTTGGAAAGTTTATATTATATTCAAAACCATATTTCCCAATTCTTTTAATATTGATTTTTCATTTCATATTTTTAAAATATAATTAAGTATTTCTTTTGTACATGTATGTACAATGTACAGTGTACAAATAGGATTACTAGAAATACATGAACATGTTCTCTGAAGCAAATCTCTTACAATGTACGTGATTAGACGATAAGGGAATTAAACAAGAAGGATACATGTATGTATCAAGTACATGTACATGTGGATTTGACCATGCCCAAGTGAGTCTAGCAGGTGATTGTTACCATGCCAACAAGCCTTCTTCTTTTGCTCTCAGCTATCCTGACCTCAGAGCGAAGCTGCTTCCCTTCCCCTCTAATTGTTGTGTTGCATAATCCAAATGTACAGCATTAATGTTTGAAAATATCAAATCAGTTGTTAGAATGTCGCACAAGGACACTTTTAATCTCCAATTACCTCGTACTTGGAGAGGGAGATGAATTTTGAGGTTTTCTTTTAAATCTCATCTGAACAGGCGCAGGGCTAGGGTACAATGAACTGCACAAAAGCTTTTGTCATTGAAGCCTGATTTGCATACATATACATGTACATGTACATGTACATGTTAAGTATAAAAACTTCCTTACGCTGAACCGCTACTAAAGAGTCTCGGCTATTAAACTGTCAAATACTGTATTGCACTGAAACCACCAAATGAAATAATTAAAATGTCAAATCAACAAAGAAGAGTTATTCTAACTCATAAATATTGCAGTTAGTTGTCAAATCATGTGGTTTGATATACACACTGAGTGATTTCAAGTTTGGTGTTAGTGTTAGTGTTTAGAGCAGTCAAGAGCTCTTAAATCGAGCGGAGAATTTGCTGATGAAATTAAGAGCCTGATACCGATATCAAAATCGATAGTTTAACACCAGCCGTGACGTCACCACATACTTGATTTTACGACGATGATTTAAAAATAGTACATCAAAACTAAAGATATCAAGAAAAGTACAGAATAAATTTACACCTATTTCTCTGGTCTTAGAAAATAACTAATTTTACACAAAAGAATATAGGAATTACGTGTTTCACATATTTTTATTTGATCGTCAGACAATAAATTGGCGTCGTTCGTGCGTTGAATGTGTGCGGGTACAACACTAACACCGAACTGAAAATCAACATTTGCTTAATCCCTAGGGGCTAGTGTTAGTGAATAGGACATTTGTACATAAAATATTAACACCAGCCACAAAGGTCGATTCAGCAGACGACAATTTTGCAAAATCGATTACACTAGCACCGGAAGTTGACGATATTCAGAGGTCAAAGCCTTAACACCAGCTGATTTACATTTCGGTGTTTAGGCTGGTGTTAGTGTTTATTAAACACCAGCCTTAAACACCCAACTTGAAATCACTCACTGTACATGTTCATGTACACTGTATGTGAAATCTGCATGAAAATGAAGTGCCATTGTTTGTGTTCTTTTATTAATCTGAAAGTATTACAATATTTTCATATTTTCCCTCATTGCGCAAGACCGAGTCCGATACTTTCATACATGATAAATGAAAGTATATAAAAACTTTCTTCCATAATTATGTATCTTTTCAAAATTTTATGTCCCACGGTTATATCGGGAAAAAAATTGAAATGCCCCTCGTGTACTTCTGGCTCTGAACAGACTGTATGATCATACTGAAAATATTAATTATATGTTGAATGTACATCTATGCATTTTTTCTTCTTTTCTATTTGTCCCCCCCCCCCCCACCACCCTTCTCATTTCTCTATGTACATGTATCTCATTCTAATTCTATCCCTCTGCGCCTCAGAATAGTTTACTAGATCAATGGTGCATAATAAATGCTGTATTATTATTATTATTATCTTTCTACTTTAGAAATACACATGTAGCAATGACTGCTCCTACAGTACATGTACATGTACATGTATACTGTACATATATTTACTTTGGTCGATTCTCTGACTAAAGATCTGAAGACCTAAAGACCTCATATTTGTTATTTTACAATTCAAATCACTTGAGAAAATGAAAACAAGATTTTAGCTGCTTTGACTTTCACATGTTTAGTAATGATATTGCAGTGTATTCCAAATCATATACATGTACATGTACAGTAGTTGTCAGATTGTGCATTATGCTTTAGGTTGTAGTCATTTTCCCCCCTGACTGCAGGCCATTGTTTTAATCTAAGATGAAGTGCTTTCTTGGTTTTCTTTTTCTTTTAATCTTTTTTTTTCTTCTCTCCCTCTGTTTCTCCACATGCAGGTAACCCTTCGGATTATACATCCCATGAATGGGAATAACAAAGAATTCAATTTTGTGCCTGAAGACACTGCATCAGATGTATCACAGTATGTCTTTGATAACTGGCCAGAAGGTAATACTCTTCTTCTACTGGTCATCTTTCACATAACTAGAGGCCAGGTTTAATCCTTTACCAATAAAGAGGGTAAAATTAGTCCACTTGTTATAGACTAAGTTCATCCTGAAGCTGAAGCTGAAGCTGTTTATACCAAGTTTTTCTCAAGAAAAGAATACCTAAATGAAAAATATACAAAATTTATGTAATCTTGCAAGTACAGGTTGTACCAGTAGTTGTAAGTTGTATTTCTCCCCACATTTAACTTTTTATGCTTTAGAGTGAAAAATATGAAAGTCATTGAAATGATTTTTTGATTTAAAACTGCTTACCGGTATTAGAAAGCACACTAAAAGATTTTCTTTATTTTCATTTGAGATTTTGTTTGTTAAGGATATATTTTCTCATTGCCCCTGAAATGCTGTAATGATAGATGTGTATTCAGTATTTTGCTGGTTACGTATTTTGCTGGTTACGGACTCTGACCTAACATGTACTGGTACTGACTTGCACTGAAACTCTTCGGACAGACTTGACAGATTTAGCAGCGATTATGAATCTGATACAGATACTGTACATACAGTGTATGTACATGTAGCCACCCTATTAAAGCAGTATGATGAACACATTATATGGATAACATAAATTGTTCTACTAGTTATGCAGGTACATGTATGGCTGCCTTTGTTATCATTGTAATTTTTATAGTGTAATCAATCTTGCTGTTGTTAGCTCATGGAATAAGGGCAATTGTCTTTTAGGAGAAGTATGATACATGTAAAAGTTAATACCTTTTTGACTCTCAGCAGACAATTTGCTTGAAATCTTAAAGCCTAAAGAAAAATTGTTTTAAAAATCCTGACATACAGTAACATGTATAATAAATGTGTGGTAGGCTTGTTAGCATACATGTACAATGTACTTGTACAGGGGGATTTTAAATTGAAATAATGATTATAACTGTTCGTGGATGTTATTTTTAGAAATAATTTAACATTTTTAGTGTTTTATGGATTTTGTGTATGAATCAACAAATATTGTTTAAGATTGTTTAAGTTGAACTTCAGAGGGTATACAATGTACATGTACACTGTTTGCCAGCAGACCTTTTCTTGTTTTTCATTCAAATCTTCCTTTTATATGTACTGTACTCTATGTACATGTACATGTGTAGGTGCAAATGAATGGTAACTGCAAATAATCTGATACCAGTGAAAATATTAAAAAACACTATGATTACATTGTTTCGATAATGTAAAAAATGTAACTTCAGTGTACCAGTGAGTAATATTAATGTTGTATTATGCACAAAAATTTTTTTTTTAATAAAATGGAGGCTACATTCAGAATAGAAATACAATTCTTTTCATTCTCTTTACAGATTGGGAGAATAACAGAGTAAGGTCTGCCCATATACTTCGATTGATATATCAAGGAAGATTTATTCATGGAAATGTTTCATTAGGAGGTGAGTGATTAACGTTGATCAGATGAAATTTTATTTTCACTTTCAGGGTGAATTCTGTATTATTTGATCAAAAAAATATAGATTATCCAACCCCAAAACTATTTTTTTTTCAAACAGACAAAGAAAGTAACGATACCAACAAAAAAAAAGACCAGAGAAGAAGTACTTGTTTGTCTGAAGAAGAAAAGAAATGTACTTGTATATCACATATTGATATATTTTATGTATTCTTCCTTCTTTTAACTTAATAGTCAGTACTCATGTTGAAGAATGAGAATAATTTTAACTACATGATAATAGCATTTGAAGTTGAACTATAGAATGATGACATGGGAGGATTCTGAGCCCTCTTTGACTGAGCCGTTGTAAAACCGCACATGTGTGCTAAATTGAAAATAGATAGGCTGGTGTCAGGTGAGGTGAGCATCCCATAAAATGATTGGTGTAAAGGCTCATTAGGCCTGTCCTCATCAGCTCGAGATTGCCAATTAACCCGCTATTTTAACTATTCCGACTGCAAATTATCCAGCTAATTTGCGTCTTCATCAGCCCGCAGTTGCAATTAGCAGGATATTTAGTCGAGGTAATCATCCCAAGATATCTTGGGCTAGTTTGCAAAATATCCCGCTATTTTTCTGGTGCATCCTCACCAGCCCGAATAGTTGCACCATGCGTGAGCGCTGAGCAAAATATCTCGAACTCAAGTTTTGAGGTCGAGTCTCGAGCTGATGAAGATGCGATTTGTAACTTCGGGCTTATTTCCCAAATCAGAAATAGCGGGCTATTTGGCAATCTCGAGCTGATGTAGACAGGCCTAGAGTGTCTACTCCTATTAGGTGGTTGCCATGTTTTAATGGGTCATCACACTGTTATTATCTTAGCCATCGTTGACTCTCTATGGCTTGTGAAGCAATCCCTCTCCATACCTGAAAACACACACAGTTGCATTATTGATTGAAGCACTAGCTGTTAAGCAGTCTCTAATCTCAGGCCCTTAGGATTAATCAGAGCCCTGTTTTATGAACAAGTTACAATAAATGGTCATAAGTTACTGAAATGACTGCATTTAATTGGCTGCGATTACATCTATCATTGAACTGTAACACTTTATACTGATAACAAGTTTTATTAAAAGTGCCCTCATGTCTACACTTACTGTACATAGTGTGTTTTGAATTTGTGTTTCTATACATGTACATGTACATACAAATAGTTACTGATTGATTTACTAAATCTAATTCCATTTCTATTTTCCCAATGCTACATGTACAGGTATCTCTTTCTTTCTAGTATCAATACATACACAGTGTACATGTTCATGTGTAGCTTAATCTGGAAATTACTGATTTAGATTCAATGAAAATAGAAGAAATGATAGTGACAAATAATATACAACTACCCGGTAATCACATTTACTGATTAGAAGATTGATAATATAGGACATGTTCCTGAAAAATATTATTATTATTATGTTTATTATAAATAAAATACTTTCCTGGACTTCCCTAGCCTTCTGATTTTTTAGAGGATATTACAAAAAAAGAAACTTAAAGGTTTTATGTATAGAGTATTGTTGTAATTTTTCCCTTTTCTCAATTTTTAATTTCTTAATTTGTTTTTTAATTCATCCATTCCTTTTTTTCCTTCTTCTTCCTGTAGCTTTACAGTTACCTCTTGGTAAGACAACAGCAATGCATATAATGGCAAGAGAAACTCTACCAGAACCCAACTCACAAGGTTTGTAAACTTCTTGTGCTTCTATGCACTTTTCAAACCTGATCATGCTAAGGCCATTTTAAAAAATAGACATGTTTAGCGTCCCCGCCCGCTTCCTTTTGGGGGCTGCCTCCTATTTATTTATTTTTGTTGTTGAAATTTTTGATTTTTTTTTTTTAAAGGCACACTGTCCTACTTGAAGCTATATGCTCCCTCTATATAGAAAACTTCCCCAATCGGTGCCTGTTGGTCCTCTATGATCCTCTTTTACATATGTTAAATGAGAGTTGAGTTAATGAGATAGCCACCTGTCACAGTGACCTCGCTGGCTTGCTGGGTGGTCTAATCCCTTCTGGCTGAAGTAGTATAGCCTGCCTTGAAATGCAAAAAAAACATGAAAAACACTGCTAAAATGGATCTATTTCTGATTTTAACAAATAAGAAATAAAAAGAGTCAACGGCCATCTTGAAAAATAGCTTGACTGTCGGGGAATATGTATCGAGCGGCCATTTCGGGTGGCCATTTTGAAAGGAAAAAAAAGGGCCTCCTTCCTATTTTTCAAAAAAAATGGACGCTAAACATGTATTTTTTTAATTTGGCCCTAATAGGAAGATAACATTATCAGTTTTGATAGCACAAGTAGTGTGTTGTGGCACTTTATCTCTGAATAGACCTGTGTACATCTTGTTCTAGTGGTTATAAACCACTTATCATATGCAAGATACTAAATACAATGAAAGATTGGTTCACGTCTATTTTAGGCATTTCAGCTGGGAAGGTACTGCTATGTATTGTCATATCAAGCATAGAGTATTTTGTACAAAATAATAGTTTATGGAATTATGGGTGTTTATGTGTGTGCTCCACACAGGTTCTCAGGACTTATTTTCAATGTTTGAAGCTGTAGTTAATTAATTAATGTACCATGTACCAAAACTTGCCAAATATACATATGCGTACTTTGTATTCGTAATTACCGGTACTACATGTAGTTTACTAAATGTACATGTACATTGGCAATTATTGGAGCTTGCAGGATGCTAAGGGCTGACATTTTTATTGAGTCAATAATTTTCTCAATATCATTTTCAAAGCCAGTTAGGCACAAATAGTAGAGAGTTATCAAGTTTATAATTCTCTAAAGTATAACTTTGATCTACACCTGTACATGTAGTATGCTTTCATAGGAAAACAGGTTGGTATAAAGGTACATTGATGTCAAGAAACCTAATTCTTACAATGTAGCCTGTCAAACAAGTCTCACCTTTGAAATCAGTCTAGACTTGTTTCTATGCTTGAATATTCGTTACTATAGCACTCACACCTTATGTATACCGGTAGTGCATAATTGATATCCTGTTTATACCGATTTGCCAGAACATTTAAGGTGCCATTTTTCCTTCAAATGTCACGCGAGTCAAGCTGGAATGGCTGATTATATATACATTTACTTCAATCACCACCTGCCTAAATCGTCAGCTTGGCTCTAGAAGAGACGTGTAGTGGTGCATTGATGAATACGTACATGTACACTGGTGTGTTAAGAATGTGTGCTTTCATAAAGTACACAGAGCTGTTTGTGGAATTCCTTGGTTTGGTTCATTAATTTTTTTGTTAAAATAATAATAATGATAATAAATATTCAAATATACAATGCACATACATGTAACATACATGTAGCAACCTAAGGAGAATCATCAAGGTGCATACAAATTCCTATTCACACTAGCATTTATTTTGCTAAAAATACACATATACAGTGTACATGTACTGTACATGTAATTTAGATCTAAAAATAGAAATATTTAGCATGTCACTATTTTTCTTGATACATGTACACCTATATGGAACCAAATAGAGTGCTTTCATCAAGTCTCATTTCAAATTTTCAATCATTAGCTATTTGTATCACCAGCTTTCACCTTCACCTTTAAAATGATAGAAATTCATAAATTGGCACCCACAGCCATGTATAAGTGTTCCAAAGTCTAGTCTGCGCATATACTGCTATACCAAAACATGAGGGTGGTGCACGTGCAAACATTGATGTTGTGTAACACCGTCATTTTAGACATTGTACCGAAATACAGCAGATAATTTTAGATATGACTGCTTATAGGCAAAATCCAGTTGTTCCAGACATGGACTTTCAAGTAATTGCATGTGGATTTGTTTGCATTGCTGGACAAAATATCACAGTACTGCTGAGACTGATGCCTCCCTGAGTTCCATGACATAATGAGAAAGATATTAATTTTTGCAGATTTTTGCTATCCAATAAATGTGTGGTACTCCTAATGCTTAAAATCTCACTTAATAACATGATCACAAACACCATCAAAAAATGACTTCCAGGATTCTCAGTGTCATAGATCTGTTATATATGTACACTGTACATGTACATGTATATTTTATTTTATTGTGTTTATTATCCAAACTTGCGAAACATCAACAATCTCTAATGCTAATAAGTAGGTTTTGAGGTTGTGCAATGGTGGTGATCCATGTACAGCTCCTATTTATCTTGGTGCAACATGGATGGCATGCACTACACCACACATTGTGTTTGTGATAAAAGTAACTGGATGTCAATGTGAACATTCTTAGAGGAAACAAACTTGAATGATAATCCCTTTACAGTGTATGTGGAGAAAGTACTGAATACCAGTTGAAAATAAAGAGGTAATTTAAACCTCAGTCATATCCCAGAGGTGCATTTTCACCGTCTACTGACTCAAATAAACCCATTTCCAATTGCTCCTCATCGCTGAAGACGGAACTCTTATACCTTTGATGCTAATGTATAAGGGGCTTGTAGAATGCAAATTTTCAAGCTGTACATGTACATGTACATGTGTGGAAGTTCATGTAGTTTATTCATTTCACAGTACATTTACAGTGTAGGTATAATTTAACAATAGTTTTAATAACAAATCTAAGGATGCAAATACATTTACATTTATGCTGACTGAAAACAAAATCTCTGAACATATAAATCTGACTCCCCCCCCCTCCCCCTTTTTCCAGATCTCTTTGTTTTTGTCCTTAATGTTTCTTAATGCAAGTTGAACCCTACCGAGATATAAAATCTTAAGTTTTGTAATCTCAATCTCTTTGGTTTGATCATTCTGTAGGGTGTTGCTACTAACCGAAAGTAACATGGTTGAATGCAAAACGTAATATTTGATATTTTGTATATACATGTATATGTTTATACAAGTGTATCTTTGGTTCTGTAAAATGCAAACTCATCCATGCATACAAGGTACCTAACTTTGACTCTCTCTATCTCTTTGTTTCAATTCTCCACAGGACAAAGGAACCGAGGGAAGACAGAGGAGAGTAATTGTTGTGTGATTCTCTGAGAGAAGCTACGTTCTTTATGCGCAAACCGTGATATAGAGCTCACACAAACTGAAACTTTTTATGAAGAGCCCGATACCATCCATTTATAGCAGGACCTTGTTCTCATGCTCGATTCAAGTCGATTTCGAAACGTTGAACATCATTCCTACATGCCCAACAGGAAACGTCATTCATGTATCTCTCTCTACGTGGTGTCTTGTGCTTGGCCGGTTCACTTACGTGTAGTTTTATATTTCGATTCGTATGCAAGGGTTGTTACCCTCTGGAAATTTCTCAAGTCGTATTCAGACATTGATTCGGTAGACAGACATGCTTTGTGAACTCTTAATGTGTTATGATTGAATATTTATTCATGCTGTCTTTTTGGAGCCTGAAGAGCATTAACTCATGTACTTTAACACAGAATTGATGCCCTTTTGTCTCCAAACGGATGACGTGTATACATGTACATGTAATGTTTTGTTCCATGATTTGAGTTCTATAATTCTGTAAATTTTGCTGTACAACCTCAGAATTACCAGATTTGTTTGTATTTTTAGTGATTGCACTAACCTATCCTTGTAAACAAACAAAAAAAATGAAAATGATGCATATGAGGAAGGGTCGAGGGAATACTACATTATGTTACTGTAGCCTACAATCCATGTATATATATTTCAACTTGTAATCATTTAATTTCTCTGTAGCTTCATCAAAACTAATTTCTAACCCTTTGCATGTAAAATCGAGTATCCTGTATATAACGTAATGTAATGTTAGGAAGTTTGGCTCACAATAGAAATATGGAATATCTCACAGGCAATTAATTTACATCCAAGAAAGTAGAGGAAATGCACTGCTAATCAGACACAGAAAATTAAACTACAAATTCCTACTGGAATTGTACAATTCCCCCTGTGCATTGACAAACTTACTGGTACTAGAAAGTTACTTCCTGCTATTTCGTTCTACATGAATGTTTGAAGGAATTGTGATATTTTGTCAAAAGGAGATTTTGTAATGAATTTGTTACACTTTGCTTGACATTTCTATTTTGGGATTTTTTTTCTTCAAATTCATTTTTTTATCAAACATCAAATCTTAATTTGGATCTTCAGTTTTTACTGACCTTGCTGCCTGCTAAGTACTGATTGTTATTTTCTCATTTTCTATATTGAGGACCGGTAGTACTTTTAAAACAAACCCACTATTATGACACTATCTCATAGCAAAGGTTTAAAGAAAACTAATCAGATTGTTGCTCATAATAACAGTTTGTGGTCCTGGATATTACCAGAGAAAATTGCAGTGTCCATGAAAACTACATCCTCTGGCACATTAGCAATACAAGTCATGTATTTCCATTTCAGAGGTGATAGTCACACAAGAAAATTACAATTTCCATGAGAGTTGTTTGTATCCTGTAGTGTGGGAGGAGTTTGTCCATTTTGTATGCTCAGAGCAAATGCAAAGAATACATCTTTTAAATGTTCTGGTCATCATATTTTAAATGATTTAAAGTAAAATTGGTTCAAATTGGTGTGGGCAGCAAGTCCTTCTTAGACAATTTTCATTATTACGAGGTCCAAGTTTTACGTCCCTTTTTTCTTTGAAAATATAAGTAGAAAAGTGATTCAAAATGATGACACAGGCAGTAAGGTAACAAAGAAACAGACACTGTTAAAAACACCCCTCCCCAAGTGAAATTTGTTGATAATAATTGCAAGTTTTACACTTCAATTTTCTCACATTTCCTAAAGGGACACAGAAAGCAAAGTATAGCATAAATGTAAATGTAATGTATATTTCTTCTTGAACAAGCTTAAAGGTAATACAAAGTTTTGGGAATTTTGAAAATTGGGTGGATAGTGATTATTTACAATTTTTATACATTTGGATGTCCCTGTGGATGTATTATATTTCAGATAGCGCCTACGGCCGTATACAATGGTAGCTGCGACCATGAAAATCTCAGAATATGTAGTTATGATGTATAATTTCTAAACGGGAATAGCTAATCGGTCGATTTTAGTCAAGAAACATTGTTTTATAGCTTAATAATATTTTGACCTTAAGAGGGAGCTATACAACATAAAGAGTTTATCATAAATAGTTTCATAACTTACAGACTCGATTTCAACCGCGACAACGATCACCGAATATTGTAGGATCGCATGCTTTCAATTTGTTCATTTGAACCAAATTCATGACCCCATACCAAAACTTTGTAATACCTTTAAGGATGAAAACCCCTTTTAAACTTGTTGCTTCCCTCCAATACATGTACTTTAGAATATATGACATGCACAGTCTTGACCATTGAAGCGTGACTTTCAAAAATGCATAAGAATCCCTTTAAATGTCAGTTGCTATTGCTCATATGATGCATCATTCATTTCAGCAGGAAATCAATGATATTTGTTGACTGGAATTGGATCAAAGCCATTATTCTAGTCTGATAACTATCAATATGAGTTAATTGGATGAATGAAGGAGATTGGCAAGTCTGGAACACTCACACTACAATGTAACTGCAGTAAAAATCAACTTTTCAATTTGTGTTGGCACATTCACTCATCCTAAACACACAATGGTTAAAATATGCTCAGTCGTTAAACAATAAACAAAATACTTCAGGGATATGAAGCTCAAATTGCTTAAATTATCAACATAATGTAATTACGAAATAATAGTTGCTTTGTTCCAACCATTTATAATTCCCCAAAGTTAATTATTTGTTAACATTAATTTGATTTAAATAAGCATTTTGAATATTGATGATCTAAATTTGTATGCATACAATGGTACAATTTATTTCTACCTTAATACTACAATTATATCCTATTTTAAAAGACATTTTAAAAATTATTTTGCCTGTAATCACTCTGTGTAGGATGTAATGTGACCTGTGCAGAATTACAAGACTGTTCTTGTGAAGACGTTTCCATGGCTACGTAACATTTTGCAACATTTAATTGTTAATAACATACCATTGAAATTTCCCCTCTGCTTATGAATTTTATGAAACGTGTAATTACCTTATGTAACAGTAACTGTGATTATTTTATATAATTTCTCCTTTTTTAAATATTCATTTGGCCAATCAAGAAAACAGTGAATACAAAACAAGAGAAACATTCAAAGTGAGCCACATGGATGCTGGGAAAAGAAAAAGATGAACTAATTAACTATAAAAACACTTCTCTTGCAATCTATATGACTTGACATAATTGACTAGCACAAAAATTTAATGAAATAATATTTGTTATTACTTTTGATTGATGTGAGTCCTTATGTGGTAATTTACTGGAAATGTTTCATTTTGATTACGTTTTTAATAATCTTTAACAGGATAGTCAGGGTACAAAAGTGATGTGTCTTTGGAAGCGAATGATTTTACATTACAATTACATGTATCTTGTCTTGTGAAATGAACTTGGTCGTGAAATGATGATGTTAAAATAGATGCAACTTGTTATACCAAATGGGTACAGATGATGGACAGCTTTTATTATCTTGAATTCTCTTTCCTTGTGGAAAAGAGCACACGGCCTTACAGACTCCATAAAGAACAAAGGTCTTATTCTATCCTGTCTGCACGTGATGTGTCAAGCATTATGATACTATTCACAAGTAAATATGATGTACACTGCCAAGTGCTAACAACCTCTAGTGAATGAAGGAGTATTTCTTTTTGAAAATGAGTGATTCAAAAATGTGTTACCTAGTATAATGGAAACAATGATTTTATTTTGTAATTTTTGTTTGTACATTTGGCAAACTTGAGACGGTGTGTGTAAATTAAAAATGACTAGACTTTGTATAAAACATGTACATGATTTTAGATAACAATTGATAAAAAATGATTTTAATAAATGCAATTTATATATGTGAGCGTGAAGTTGTCTATATAAAATGTATACTAAACACAGATAGATATATTTAATTAGAACTAGATAGAACACAGTACAGTATGTATATTCAATGTATACTACACATACAGTTTATACAGATCATTTAGAAATATTTCTAAATATTTCAGGTATTTTGAATAATGCGTATATATATATATATATATAGTTTGAGAGATAAAAACAAGAAACTCAACATCTTCTTTTTCCCCCCTCCCTATCATTTGTTGTTTTCCTGAAACTGTTATATGAGATTTCTCATAAAATTATATATATATATGTGTGTAATAAACCAGATTGCATGAATAAGATTGCAAAATAACATCCATACTATGTTTATAATGAATGATTTGAAAATTATATCATTTTTCATAGATGTTGTCTGGATACAGTAGGCATCTATACTCATGTAAAAATTTATTTCTTATTTGCTTAAATACCAAGTTTTGTCTTATTTGCTATATTCCTTTATTTTTGATTGGATGATGCATATTAAACCATCTCATAGAAGTGATCATTTTTTTATTAGAAAAAGAGAGACAACATTGTACATTTACCACATGACATAGCACAACGTACTATGTCTTTGTTATACAGTGTGTTTGTAAAAATCACTCGATGTACAACATACATAATACATAGATGTACATAACACACCTTTTTTTTCTCCATTCAGTTGTTCAATGTGGAAAAAAAGAAATCTCACACTTGTGCCTATTCCCCTCAGACTAACATACACACTGAAAAAGTAGCATTTATTATTGTAAACTGGTGATAGGGTAGATTGAACAAAATCATTATTGGGAGAAAGCCATAAGGTCGTTATCTTGACGCAGAGATAATGTCTTTCTAGCTTTCAATGGAAAAACTGTTGCTTTTCTTGACTGTCCCATATAAAAAATTGTATAAAAAAACAAGTGTTTTTACCATGTATTTTTGTTTTGTTTTGGCAGGAGCAACAGCACAGTCTATGCTTATGCAAAATGATCATAAATGTTCACTGCTGGTCTATGTGATAGAGCATACGGCCTTCACTGTTTAAAGGTTGTAGACATTTATTATGGTCTTCAGCTTACTATCAACATTGAAGAGGAAATTAAGATGATTCAGACAATTCTACTCATTAGTATTTTTCTTTAGATGCCATGCCATGAAAGAATAGCCCCCCTCCCCCCTCATAAAAAAAAAAGAAAATAAGCAAAAATCTTTATTGTATAAAAGTGTAAAGTATTCAGAACTGATATTTTAGTAAAAGCCAGTGTATTTATAGATCTTGATTTAACTGTGGGAAAACACTATATGAACTAACAATATATATTAGTTAATTGTCCCAGTAATAACTAAATTATATCTGATATATTTTAGTGACTTGATACTAAAATAGTCATAAATATATGTAGGTATATGCAGGCTAGATGTGTAAATCTAATTATAGAAATACAATTTAAGAAAAAGCAGTTGGTGCAAGTTGATGACCACTGCCTACCACTTTTTAAAAATCTTAGTACATATCCATTTCAGTAGAATACGTTTACCCCTGTACCATATTTAAAAAATGTAGTAATATATTTTTTTTGTCAGTATAAATAAAAAAAGGAGAAAAAGGCAGAAATTATTTTCCCCTAAAGTGACGATTTCAAGAACACTCAAATGAAAATATTGTTGAAGTCTGATTTTCATATGAAATTTAGAACGGGTGATAATAAGAATAATCAGATAATGATTATAGAAAAAAATTGTAATATGCTGTAAATACCACAAGTAATAAAGTATTGGTGGTTT